TTAGATTTAAAATGATGCCATTCTCTGAAGCAACATTAACTTTTTACATTGTTTGACATTTATATTGTGAATAATATATTTCCATTTTGTTGACATTTGGGCCTATATTGTAAACATGATGTATTTGTGTCAATGTGAATGTTTGAACACATCAAATATTAAAAAAAGAGATAAGTGAAAGATGACAAGATGATGAAAAGGCATTTTGCCTTGCACAGAGTGAATAATAACAATGACAATAATAACAATAAAACGATGCAATGCAGGGGCCCATTCTTCGTATGTCGCTAACTCTGCTGGATTTGATTGTTGACGATTTGGCATGATCTTGGATTATTTGGTTCTTCAAAGCTCATCCTGGACTTGCTGTCATAGCAACAGGTCGGGATTTGTTTCATTCTGTGTATATATGTTTTAGTTAGTTATATGTTAGATATAGTTTCATTTTATTAAATCCCTTATATTCACAACGGATTGTTTCTGTTTACTGTTCACAGTTCCAAGTCAATGAATGTTTGAACCCTCGCTACATTTTGAATTACTGCTAGCACTGTACAAAGAAGGACAGTTTATTGTTCCGTGGCCAGAAAATAAATATTCCTTGAATTGATAAATGATTATATTGTCTGCTCGGTGGACGGACAGATCAAATAATTGTAATATTGATTCTGCTACAGTTAATTCGAAGATATAATCTAAATATTTATTATGAATCATAACCAGTTATAATTCGTCATAAATATTCCCCTTTTTAGAGCTAATAAATAATAATAAACGTTACAATTATTTGGTTCTTCAAAGCTCATCCTGGACTTGCCGTCATAGCAACAGGTCGGGAGCAGGCTTATTTCATGTAAACAGGATTAGATTGCATCTTTTTAAGTGGAATTGATACTTAAAATATGTCCCAGCCACTGCTACTATTACAAGAGTACCCTACTAATCCGGGGACAATAATTTAAAATAGTAATTAAAAAAATAATTTGAAAACAATATTATATGTTGTGTAATCTATAATACTATAGACAGCCAGTTTTATTTATTTTTCATTGAAAGATTTATTTGTGATAAAATAATTACTTTATAATTGTATCAGTGTCTTAATCTGAGTTGTGCATTAATTTGAGTGGTGACTGCTATTATGGGAGTGACTTGATGGAGCGCAGGAGATGCAGATAGCTTGATCTTGACCCTTAAGGAACTGCTGTCACATAACAAATCTGCTCCAAAGATAAAATTACATGAATTGCTAATTACAACATTGAAATAAAAATGTAAATCCTGTACAAATAGTAGAAATCCTGAAAATAAATAATTGGGAATCATGTTAAAAAATAAATAAATAAAAAACAGTGCACATTTCATTAATCTATTATGTCATTTATATAGTTTTGTTCACTTGGTTGTTTCCCTATAAAGGTCCAGAAATTTGTCAAGTTTTTACAACGTGTTTTTGAGCAATGTAGCCAATCACAGTCACTTCTGTTGATTTCTTGGACACCTCTGATTGGCCATTCCGTTCAAATGAGTCAGAATTCACTCACGGCTAAATGCCGGATTTTGAATCCTCTCACTGACTGTAACACAATGAAAATAAGAGGTTCACTGATTCCAAAGAAACTTTGTGAGGTCGCGATGAACTGAAGTAAGTGACACCTTTTAACCATTACAAACGAAGCATTTGTTGCGTCCAGTGAGGACATAATTACTGATTATAATGACTTATACTGTGTTTTTACGCTTTGCGTTGTGTAATGCGCCGCATAAACATAAAACCATGTCTGCATTTGTGATCGGAGAAATGACAAACAACAAGCGCTACTCTACACTGCTCAAATCTCACGTTTGAATCATCAGTGGCAAATCCTTTAAAGCTGCAGTCCGTAAGTTTTGCCTCTTTGTCGCCATCTCTGTTTGAAAACCTGGAATTGCAGTTACTTGCGTAATTATCTAGCTTGCGTGGGTTGTACTCTGGCACGGCTCAAGCACGGATGAATCTAATGTTCTGAAGAGTATGTGTGGCAGTC